CTGACAGCTGTGAGATGAGATAAGTCCTGCTCTGAGTTTTTTAGAGGACAGAATAAAGATTTCAGTGAGTCTGTGAGCTTTTAAGGTGGACTTTTGAAGGCAGGATCTTTTGTTGTATTTATCCTACTCAGACCTGTTTTCAGTTCCCACTACTGAGACTTGTATCTGAGACTTGATCCCAGGTGTGGATCTCAGTGTGGAGCTCAGACCTCCAATCACAGCCACTGGGTTTGGAGTGGCTGTGATTGGAGGTCTGAAATGGTTCAGTTTGTATCCATTTCAGTGATGATAATGTTGTTACTGTTTGAGCGGTCTGCATGATTCAGTAGTTATAGTTATATTTCCTGAATGTACACAGTTCAGCTGAAGAAAGTATACAAGGCATGTACAGCAATGTACAGAGTGAAGAATAACTGGAGCCTTTCTGCAGATCTTTGTAATCAACATGAACATAAATCCCATAAACATATAGACAAGTCAGTTAGTGAAGCTGTAGGGAACACCGGCTCCCTTGATGCCTCCTGTGTGCATTTCAACCCTCAGTGGCATCAAATAATATTACTGCAGTTATTTTTCCCCGTTTTTGTAAAATGATACATTTAAAAGCTATATTATTAACATCAATCATTATATTTTAGCACTAAAATGTAAATTAGATTAAAGAGCTTGTGCATGCTGGTGGGTGGTCGTCTGACACACTGGTTAAGGACATTACATCAGAAATAGACTAGAAGTGTAGACGGTTGGTGCTACAGACAAACATATTTCTTGGTTCCACATTGCTTCCTGTCATTACTCCACATTAAGAGACAGTTTGTAGTGTAGTGTGGACACAGGGATGGTTTAAATATAACTGCCTCCATCAAACTGTGTCCCCGTCTATTTTAAAAACCAATTTTAGGATATTATCAGGAAGTTGGCTGTTTATTGCTTTATACATATTTTTGGAGTTAAAAATGAATTGGTGAGTGAATTTAAGTGTTTTTTTATTTTTAAGAATCATTCATTATGATCTCTCTAACCAAAGTTTTGGATATTCCTTATTGTCCTTTTTTGTAACATAGATAATGATGATAGAGAGATTTTATAAATACTGCTCCAAAGCCACACTATCCAGTTCTTACTGGTGGATCTCGAGATGTTTACAGGACAGATGCGATCATCTCCCCAGCAGGTTCTGGGTCTACCCAGGGTCTCGTCCATTTGGGTTTGCCCAGAACAAAATCTAACAAAACCACCTCACCTGTCTGCTTTCAATGCACAGAATGTGCGAGATTGAGGTTTCCAGATTGTTTTATCAAGAATGTCTTCATGTTTACAAACCCTGTGAAACTGGCCTCTCTGCACATTTAGAGAAATTCAAGAGGGTTTGCTGAGTTCTTCACTTTGCACACAGTGAGCTAAAGCACAGAGCTGTGGTGAAGCTGTGCACAGGTAACCTGTAACTCACCTGTCCTGTCGTCCTGCAGCCAGCAGCCAGTCTGTGAGGACCGACTTCATCGGTGGTGAGGTCCTGCTGCCCTGCGTCTACTCTGAAAAGCTGTCCGAGCCGGTCACTGCCTTCTGGAGGGACAAGGATGACAAAGTTGTGTTGGACATCATCGAAAGCAAAGAGCATAAAATAGATCCAAAGTTTAAAGGTCGTGTGGTCAGCTTCCCAGACCAATACAAGACTGGAAACCTCTCCATCCTCATAAAGGGCCTGAGGGCGGAAAACGCCGGCCCGTACGATTGCAACATCCCCAAAGTGGACTATCAGACCAAGATGACTCTGAAGGTCACAGGTCAGTTTGGCAGCACGAGCACTTCATTAGGAACACCTCAGTGTTTGTGCAGCAGCAGCAGAAAAGTATAAGCTGCAGTGATTAGTGAGTAGAAATGGATGGATGAAGGTCAGACAGTCAGGACAGGTTTCCTTTTTAAGTCTGATTTACTGCAGAAACTGTTCACAGTAAGTGTCGATGAAGCCTCAAGCTCACAAAGAGTTGACTGCTGCACAAAAAGCCTCCTTATGAATCCACTCCCCCTCCCACTAAATGCACAGTGGAGGGGTTAATCAGCAGCATATTTAAGACTATCCCACAGAAACTGTTCTGGCTCTTTTGTAACCATATGTAGAAAAAATAGACATTAGATCCTATTTGAAGACATAGCAGCAGGCAAATGTGGAAGGTGGACAAACGTTAACAGATTAAATTTTCATGAGTGGAACCAAATGATCCTTTAGCAGGTGTGGGTGTTTTGTATGATTGTTGTTCAGTTTGTGATCAAACTCAGTCTGCTTAAAGATGTTTTCTTGCTTGTTTTTGTTTGTTTCTAATCGATCCGATCATCAGTCGATCAGTATTTGAGTGTGAGGTTCAGCTAAAGAGCTGCAGTAGTGTTAAAAGCAGAGTGAAAAAACAGGAAACATCTGAACTAATGGTCAAAGGATGTGTTTTTTTACTGTGTTAGCACCAGACAGAGATCGCACTGCGGGTGATCTGCTGTGATCTGCAAGCTGTACAGAAACAAAGTAGCTGAATGTTTCTATTTTTTACATCAGCAGCAGCAATGTTTCAGAGATTCCTATATGAATGCCCATAATTTTCAGATTTAGGCTTCCTTCCTTAAAATCAAACAACTTAGTGTTTCTTTATGTTCAGTTCTTATTAAACTGATGATTGGTTTTTTTGTGTTGCAGTGAAACCTGCTGTTAAAATAACGACTCCACATCCTGAGCCTCCTACGACTCGTGGTGCAGCAGTGACGACCTCCAAACACCACCTTTCTCTCCTCTCTGCCCCTCTGCTTGTGCTCTTCAGCTCTTTAAAGTAGGCAAAGAGGACTTGTTGTTGTGCTTCTCTGTTTAAGGATAGTCTTCATGCCTTGTTTAAATAACCTTTTATTAACAAAATGACAGTTGACACCTAAAATATGCCGTTTGTTATATTTACCACCACTGCTGCTGTTTCTAAAACAAATATGTGAAAATATCCTCAAGGCTGGCAGCCTGAGCACCTTATAAACAATCGTTAAGCTTCACTTGGTTTAGAATAGAAGTAGAAACATCCTTTATTTTCCCTCATTGGGCCAATTCCGGTAGGACTTTATGTTTACCTACATATTTTACATTTAAGCGGTCTTTATGGGAGCTCAAATATGCAAACCTCAGATGTGTGTGAAACTTTAAAGGTGGCACAAAGAGCTGAACCAATTTATAAGAGGGGAAAACTTGACTGATTTTAAGGGTTTTTTGTTATCAAACCAAAACAAGACACTTGAAGCTATTTTGACATTTTTTGCTCATATCAGTTAATCCAAATGTTGTATTGCTTCCATTGTCACTGATTTACTTCACTTTGTGTGTTCTCGCAACTTTTATACCTTAGATTTTATCTGTCAGTATTTTATATGGTTTATTTATTAGCTTGTTTAATTTTTACAGTTTCCTAATATTTATTTTAGAATGTAGTTGTAAAGTAGTAACAAGAAACAGTGTTTATTACTTAGTACTAATAATATTTGGCTTTTGCGTTCTGTAAAAGTGGAAAATGTAGGGGAAAAAAAACTCTCCCTCTTTTGTTTTTATTCATTTTTTCTGTTTTCAACAATGAATCATTCACCTTTACTTCTTTCATTGTGTTGTTAGCAAATAGTTCTAAAATTCAGCTAGAGCTTTTCTTTAAAACACACGTTAGGATGATTTAAAGTCTTTTGAACACAACCCAAACTTTACAGGTACTAACTGTAATGGGAGTGAAAGTATTTAAATGTGTCAGAAGGTCTTAATCAAAAGTTTAAGTTAATTGTTTTTCTTTAATTTAATACTTACGGATGTCATTAAAATCTTTCTCAGTGACTTTTCAGACATCTGATTTCTTTACGTTATAAAAACAAAAGTGACGCAGTTGAAATCTCACCAGAGATCACACTGAGCTGAAGTTTAAGCTTTCAGCCTCGTGGTGCCATCATGTGATCATATCAAAAACCAAACACAACAAACATGTACGAGATGCTTTTTTAATTGGTGTTCTGGAGGATTATCGCCATCTGCTGGATCCTGTAAGAAACAACTCTGACCTGTGAGAGATTAATAACAGATCAGTGGTCTTTAAAGTCTTCTTCTTCTGTTCTCATTGAGCATCACTTTGGCCTTCATAACAAAGCAAGTCGCTGTTACACCCCAGTCCATTTATTTAAGAGAAAAACCAAGAAATAATATTGATATTTCTCATGTGTACATATTTCTACTAAATATGTTTCAGTTTTTCTGTTAGTTTTTTGCTCCAAATACATACATCCTGATGTCTTTGGACAACTGATCTGGCAGTAGCATAGGCACACTTAAAATTTCTTCGGAAATTTTCGCTTTCTAGATAGCGAAAATTTACAAAGCTTTCACTTTCACTCCACATTAAATGTAATTATATGATTTATTTATTACATTTAATGTGGAGTGAAAGTGTGCTTTGTCTCTAGGGGCCACCATAAAAGTATTTAGTCTTTAAATAAAGAAAGAGTCCAGCTCAGTCTGTGTTCGAGGCCTCGCTCCTATCAAGGATTCAGTAGGAGGAAGATGAGGAGCGTGAGGCTGGTGGTGAGATGAAGGTAACCTGCCGTGAAGCTGGAGTCTGCAGATGAAGGTCCTGGAGTTCTCTGAGCTTCAGACACGCAGTGATCTGCATCAGGAGCAAAGAGCAGAGGAGCTCAGAGGGACACGACAACAAAGCTGTGAACATGCTCAGAGAGGAGGAGGAGCTAACCTGACACAGTGAGCTGGATAGTCTCCTTGAGCTTCAGCTGTGGGATGAAGCAGGTGTAGCTGCGGCTGTCTGACAGCTGCAGGTGCTTCAGGAGGATGGAGAAGTTTCCCTGGTTACAGGTGTGAGGAAAGCTCTGCACTCGCCCTCTGAACAGGTGATGCTGGAAGCGAACATAAGGGCTGCTGAGGATGATGTCCAGCACAGTCCGGTCCTCTCTGTCCCTCCAGAAAACACCGACTTTGTGAGGCAGGCGCCGCAGCTCGGGGCAGACGCACTGCAGCAGGACTTCACCTCCAACCGGGGCGCACACATGCACCACACTGCTCACTGACAGACACACAAACACAACAGCAAGCATCGAGACCATGCTGAGGGAGGTTACCTGACACGTAATCTCAGAAAAACGTAACGTGGGGTCGACACAGACCTTAATGGATGAGTGACATGGAAGGTTATAGTGTAGCGTTAAAAGGGGTTTCGTATGTTACAACGTAGATTTCCCACACCAGCTTAGATCACACTTAAATCAGCTGAGAGACATAATCTCTCCAGTGTGTCTTGGATCTGCACTACAGACGTTGCAAAGGAGGACATACCTGAAAAATCTCGTCTAGGAGGAGTCAGAGCAGCATCCAGTCGGATGCCTGAACAAAGTCAACTGCCTCCCTTTGATGTGGAGGAGCGGCAGCTCTACCTTGAGACCCTCTGAATGATTAGGTTATCTTTCACCCACAGCTCTCTCTTCACCACGATGACCCAGTACTTCAGACTCCACGCTAATCCATCCGCTAATCTCCCGTTCCTCTCTAAACCAAGATACTAAACTCCTCTCCTGCTTTAGTATCATGTGACGTCACACAGACGCACCAACATCACCAAACGTCACCAAAACCAATGACGAGTAAAGACAGTGAGTAACGAAGGCTTCAGGAGAAACATCAGCACACTGGAGAAAAGAGAGAGTGGAAAAACAGAGTGGATAAACCTGCACTGCATTTAAAACACAACAGAGACAAAGCCTACCCATCTGTCTTATCAGTAATTGCAATCTGATTACTGGACTCTACATAGCTGCGTTGAATTTAAAGTCTTCCTGTTTGATGAAAGAACAGATGGATACTCACCTGTGTGTGAGACGATGAAGACAAGGCAGGTGACTGCAGCTCTGTGGACACACAGATGATTACAGCACACCTGAGTCAGACTCTCATCACAGCTCAGAGGTGTGTTTGTAGGTTTACTTTGAAAGGTCTGAACTGTGAGCAGACCACATGTTAAATATTTTACTTTGAAAGGATTCTCAGACTTGCAGCTTCCTCTGTGGGGTCACTGAACGTCTGTGTTAAGAATAGTGATGGTAAATTTGATTCTTTTTACTGAATCGAGTGTTAATGAGTCACTCACCAAAGTGAATCGGATGTTTTGAGTCATTTGATTCACTGAGTCAGTTGACCAGAGAGTGCAAAAATTTTACATTTTCACTCAAACTTAATTTGTTTCCCTTTTCATGTAAATCCCACTGCTAAGATGAATGATTTAAAAAAAAACCAAACTATTTTATAGAGAAAAAAAAGAGCAAAATATTTCTAAAATTAAGCAATTTCCTATCAAAATTGCTTAACAAACATTTATTTTGTTTATTTGTATTTTATTAGTATTTTCCTTAAGTGTGTCAAATATATTTTCTCATCTAAATGTCCACTGCACTGTGAGCCAGGTGGCGGTAATGCGCCTTAACATTGGTTGCCAACCACGAAGAAGAAGAAGCTGTGAGCACAGGAGGGAGGGGGTGAGTGAGTGATTCGTTCGTTCGCTCTATGATTCAGCACAGGAGGGAGGGGGTTAGTGAGTGAGTGAGTGAGTGAGTGAGTGAGTGAGTGAGTGAGTGATTCGTTCGCTCTATGATTCATCATCATCATCATCATCATCGTTTATTTGTATAGCACTTTAAGAACACACCAGGCAGACCAAAGTGCTGAACAACACAGATCAAAACAACAACCAAATTAAAAATACCATAAAATCATTACAAACAATAAAATAAATAAGAAGGTGTCAGTTTCCTACAGAGTTAAAAGCCTGTAGGAGCGATCGTGGCTCAAGAGTTGGGAGTTTGCCTTGTAATCGGAAGGTTGCCGGTTCGAGCCCCGGCTCGGACAGTCTCGGTTGTTGTGTCCTTGGGCAAGACACTTCACCCATTGCCTACTGGTGGTGGTCAGAGGGCCCGGTGGCGCCAGTGTCCGGCAGCCTCGCCTCTGTCAGTGCGCCCCAGGGTGGCTGTGGCTACAATGTAGCTTGCCATCACCAGTGTGTGAATGTGTGTGTGAATGGGTGGATGACTGGATATGTAAAGTGCTTTGGGGTTCTTAGGGACTAGTAAAGCGCTATATAAATACAGGCCATTTACCATTTAAAAGCCAGGGAATAAAAATAGGTTTTCAATCTGGACTTAAAGACCTGCACTGATGACGCTTATCTAATTTGGAGGGGAAGGTTATTCCAGAGCATCGGAGCCGCAATTGAAAAGGCACGGTCTCCTCTGCATTTCAGCCGCGACTTAGGGACCGACAGCAGCAGCTGCTCAGCTGAACAGAGCGAGCGAGGAGGAACATGTGGCTTCAGCAAGTCAGATAAGTACACAGGAGCCAGACCATTTAAAGATTTAAAAACCAATAAAAGGACCTTAAAACGAACCCTAAAATCAATGGGAAGCCAATGCAAGGAAGCCAGAACCGGAGTGATGTGATCGAATTTCCTACTACCGGTTAAAAATCGCGCCGCCGCGTTTTGCACTAACTGCAGGCGTGACAAGGTGCCCGACCCGACCCCTATTAAAAGGGAATTACAATAGTCCAGACGTGAGGTGATAAAAGCATGAATAAGAGTTTCCAAATTGGGTTTGGAAAGGAAAGGCTTAACCTTCGACAGGCGTCTGAGGTGATAAAAAGCTGATTTTACCACCCCACTTACATGACCTTCAAAAGTAAGCGCAGAATCAAGTTTAACACCAAGATTAGTGACTGAACTTTTCAGATGAGAGGTCAAATCACCAAAATCAACATCTGGAGAATCAGTAGAACGATGCGGGCCATATAAAATTGCTTCCGTTTTGCGACCATTAAAATTCAAAAAATTATTTGCCATCCATAATTTAATATCGCTAAGACAGTCAAGCAGTGATTGACATGGGGAGGTATCCAAATGACTAAAAGAATCAGAATCAGAATCAGAATCAGAATGGGTTTATTGCCAGATGTTGAGGTTTACAACATTAGGAAATTGCTGCGGTGCTTCAGTGCAGACAATAAGAATTAAAGTGCTATGTAGAAAGAAAGAAAGATATGTGCATGAGATATACATGAGATATATACATGAGAATAAGAATTATGAGTGCTACGTAGAAAGATATATACATGAGTGCAGGTGGTGATCAGTGCCAGACATGAAATGATGCAGTGACACAGCGTAGGGTCATGTGTTAGTGTCGGGACAGTCATGTGGTTATTGTTCATGTGTCCAACAGCAGAGGGGAAGAAACTGTTCTTGTGGCGAGAGGTTCTGGTGCGAATGGACCGGAGCCTCCTGCCTGAGGGGAGCAGGTCAAACAGACTGTGTCCAGGGTGAGAAGGGTCAGCTGAGATCCGGGCTGCACGCCGCAGAGTCCTGGAGGTGTACAGGTCCTGCAGAGATGGGAGTCTGCAGCCAATCACCTTCTCAGCAGAGCGCACAACACGCTGCAGTCTCTGTTTGTCCCTGATAGTGGCTCCAGCGTACCACACGGTGATGGAGGAGGTGAGGATGGACTCGATGATTGCAGTGTAGAATTGCATCATCGTCCGTGTTGGCAGGTTGAATTTCTTCAGCTGCCTCAGGAAGTACATCCTCTGCTGGGCTTTCTTGATGACGGAGGTGATGGTGGGCTCCCACTTCAGGTCCTGGGTGATGGTGGTACCCAGGAAGCGGAATGAGTCCACAGAGGTGATGGGGGTGTCAGTCAGGATGATGGGGGGAGTGGGGCTGTGTGCTTCCTGAAGTCCACAATAATCTCCACTGTCTTCTGGGCATTCAGCACCAGGTTGTTGTGGCTGCACCAAGACACCAGACGTTCAACCTCCCTCCTGTAGGCAGACTCGTCCCCGTCCGAGATGAGCCCAATGACGGTGGTGTCATCTGCGAACTTGATTAGCTTGACAGACTGGTGGGTGGAGGTGCAGCAGTTGGTGTACAGGGAGAAGAGCAGAGGAGAAAGAACACAGCCCTGAGGGGAGCCGGTGCTGATGGTCCGGGAGTCCGAGACATTCTTTCCCAGCCTCACATGCTGCTTCCTGTCCGTCAGGAAGTCAGTGATCCACCGGCAGATGGGATCAGGCACATTCATCTGGGAAAGCTTGCCTCGGAGATGGTCTGGAAGGATGGTGTTGAAGGCAGAGCTGAAGTCCACAAACAGGATCCTGGCGTAGGTTCCTGGGGAGTCCAGATGCTGCAGGATGAAGTGTAGGGCCATGTTGATGGCGTCGTCTACAGACCTGTTGGCTCTATATGCAAACTGCAGGGGGTCCAGGAGGGGGGCCGTGAGGGTCTTGAGATGGGAGAGAACTAGGCGCTCAAATGACTTCATGACCACAGATGTCAGAGCCACGGGTCTGTAGTCATTTAGTCCAGTGATCCTAGGTTTCTTGGGGACAGGGATTATGGTAGAGGACTTGAAGCAGGCAGGCACATGACATGCCTGCAGTGAGGAGTTGAAGATGCCAGAAAACACTGGGGCCAGCTCGTTTGCACAGTGTCTGAGGGTGGCAGGAGACACAACGTCTGGGCCGGGAGCTTTCCGAGCATTCAGATTCTTAAACTGCTTCCTCACATCTGCTTCATGAATATGAAGAGTTGTGGTGGGAGGAGGTGGTGTGAAATCCTCTTTTGTGTGGGTGAGGAGGGGGTGTTGTAGGTGAACAGTTTGAAGGTGGTGATGGCTCTATGTAGGGGGGAGAGGTGGGGGAATGAGTGTCCAAAGTGCCTCTATTGTTGGGGTCGTTGGAGGTGTGAAGGCTGCCTGATGGCTCGTCAAAACGACAGTAGAAGTCGTTAAGGGTGTTGGCTAAGAGCAAGTCATCAGTGGAGTGGGGGTTTTAGGCTTGTAGTTTGTAATATTCCTAAAACCTTTCCACACAGAGGCCGAGTCATTCTCTGAGATCTGCTGCTGCATCTTCTCAGAGTGCTGATGTTTGGCAATGTCCACTTCCTTAGTGAACCTGTACTTGGCCTCTCTGTAGCAGTCCCTGTCTCCGCTTCTGAACGCCTTACTCTTTTCCAGCCACAGCTTTTTGAGTTTAGGAGTAAACCAGGGTTTGTCATTGTTATAACTCACCCTGGTGCGTGATGGCACAATGCTGTCCTCACAGAAGTGGATATAGGAGGTGACAGTGTCCGTAAACTCGTCCAAGCTGTTAGAAGCAGCCTTCATTGTGTCCCAGTCTGTGGTCTCCAAACACGTGCGAAGCTCCTCCACAGCCTCGTTGCTCCACAGTTTTTTGGTCCTCACAACAGGTTTGGAGAGCTTCAGCCTCTGTCTGTACGTGGGGATCAGGTGGATCATGACGTGGTCAGAAAGTCCGAGTGAAGCGCGCGGCACCTCACGATAGGCCCCGCTGATCGTGCTGTAACAGTGGTCTAATGTCCTCTCCTCTCTGGTCGGGCATTTAATATACTGCTTATATTTCGGAAGCTCATGGCTCAGATTGGCTTTGTTAAAGTCCCCAAGAGCAATGATGAGAGAGTCCGGGTATGTCCGCTCCGTGTGGAGAATCTGCTCCGCGAGTGCGCACTGAGCTGCTTGCGCATCCGCGTCTGGCGGGATGTAAACAGCAGCCAGGATGAATGAAGCAAACTCCCGCGGAGAATAAAACGGTTTGCAGTGAATAAAAAGATATTCCAGAGAGGGAGAGCAGTGCTGGGCAATCACTGTTACATCTGTGCACCAGCCACTATTGATGTAGAAGCAGACACCTCCACCTTTGGTTTTACCGGAGAGAGCGGCCTGCCGGTCCGCGCGCAGCAGATGAAAGCCCTCCAGCTTGAGCGCGCAGGTAAGTAAAGCTGACAGTCATCGGCATACAAATGAAATGACACTCCGTGTTTACGAAAAATCGCACCAAGGGGGAGTAAATA